AATACACACAACACACACACACACACACACACACACACACACACACACACATATATATATATATGAATTTGAAGAAGTCTGTATCGATAGATGACAAGTTCGCTTGCTAAGTTTAAAGTCACTCTTCGGAAGTGAATCCGATAGGATATTTAGCTGCACGTTGTAAACCGTTTAAATACACACGCGGAGCAGTGAAAGCCATCAGGTGAAGTTAAAGCCCGCGCCCTACTTCAGCATACTAGACGCTTCAAAGGAAAGTATACGTTCGTAATCAGGCACTGGTTTATCGGGGCGACAGACCACACCATCCAGTATCACGGCAGGATTTGTAGTAAACGCCTACACATAAAAGCGAAATAACTGGGAGACGCTTACGACTTAATGCCAACATCGTATCGTACACAGGCACGTTGTATATCCACGCTTGCATGTACACGAGATAACATAGAGAGAGTAACAGCAACAACAACTGCATTACATACCGTCTCGACAGGTTTTCTTTCGGAGAGACGCGGTCTTCTGCGATAGGTGAGTGGAGAAGGATAGTAGATTTGTATGTCAATCAGTTCACAATTCTAATTGGGGCTACCTATTCGCTCTACTTTGTTTGTTGGGGCTACCTATTCGCTCTACTTTGTTTGTTGGGGCTACCTATTCCCTCTAATTTGTTTGTTGAGCTACCTATTCGCTCTACTTTGTTTGTGGGGGCCACCTATTCCCTCTACATTGTTTCGGCGACTAAATATAGTCTTAGCCGGCCACGTTGTTGTAGCGTAGTGCATAGTGGCCAATCGTTCGCGTGCTTGTGCTATACTATAGCCCATAGCCCACATACGGCACTAGTTGGTAGCACTGGAGAGGTTTAGACTCGAGTTCAAGTATATGCCACACATTCAGAACAGAATAAAAATGCATCAGCCTACAACTGACGACAGTAGCAGTGATAAGCACACGTGCTCCGAGAGGCGACGGGTGCCCACATAAACAGCCAGCTCAGAAGCTGAATACGCTCGAGATGAGAATACAGTTGCACGCAACTAACTACCACAAGCAAGTATGTACGAAAAGGTATGCAGTCTTGTTATACGAGCAACAGCAAACAGGACGTATTGGAAAAGACGCACAACGGGAGGATTGCCCCCGGAAAGGCACTGAACTGCCACTATGAGAGATATAAGAACCCTAGGTTTAAATTTGACCTCAAGCTTAAAATTGAAACCCAGATTAAAACTAAAAATTAAACCCCAGGTATAATTTCGGGCCAAGTCCCACCCGGGTAGTTGATTATTCGTATAAACAACGCAACAGACTGGGTACCAAGCAATCGAGCCATAAGAAAACTTGGAATAGATGGAATAGGCCAACAGAATGATTCATTACGAACAGACGAGATATAGACCAGAATGACTAGCGGTTTGGATAACAGGCAAACAATACGAACGACATACTTTTTCGGCGAACTATCGCTACCAATCTTTGGCGCCACCTGGGGGGTCATTGAATACAATTTACATCGTAAACTGAGTCAATTTGTCTGCCAGTGCAGTCCATATTTCATTTTTGGTCTGTTACTTTTGGCAGTTTTTGTTACCAATTCCAATAGACACACAATTCATAGCACTCTGCACACACAAGGGCCGAATGAACCACTTGCACAGGGTAGTAAATCTACAAGCAGGCCTTATGCCACCACCCTCCTCGATAGACATGCGACTAACTCGAATAGCGACCCACACAACCCACTCGAAACAAACGAGAAAATTCTACCACATTCAGAGTGTGCTAGTGTACCTAACCTGTATATGCATGTTAGAAGTTCATTTCTATACATTGCACAGAGCGGTGCAGTCTATCTACATATGCCTGTTAAAATACCACATCTCCCCCACACACTCCAGCGCCAAACACCCTATCCACCCTCACCTTATGCAGGATATCGGATTCCTTGGGTAACTCGATCTCGTAGTCTTGTCCCATGGCCACCACCACTGCGTCCAGCACATTGCGGGCCTTGGTGTATGCACTGTCCGGTACTTGTGTGCCTGTGGGTGTGGTGGCGGACTTCCATTCACTGAGACTCCGGGCGATGTTGCCCATAGAGCTCCCCACGTTTTGTACAGACCAACCCCCGGCTGTAGAAGTTGGGCAGAGCGATAGTGTGTGTGTGTAAGTGTGGTAGACACGTGCTTGTATCAGATATGGGGGATGTTAGCAGGTGCATATGTACATGAAGATTAACAATGGGCGTATAGTTTGGTGACTAATTAATTCCCACTCACTTGAGTCTCTGGATATGGTTGTCGTAGCGCCTCCCCCCCCACTGCTCTACTATTTGCACCGATCAACTCCTTGCCGTATGTGATATGTAGAACGATAGTGTGTGTGCAAGTCTTTTAGATTTTTGCCTGCATCAGGTAAGGCGGATGATGACATGTGCGTAGTTGTCCAGATGGAGAGAATATGATGGATGTGGGTGTGCCGTATACACGAAGTGGTAGCAGTACTTGTGCAAGCTCAGGATGTGACTGGCACTCATTTAACGCCCCTTTAGAACCCCTCATATACTACCAATATACCCCCCCTCCCACGACGTGACGCGGATATCCCCCCGGCTGCGTAGTTTTATAGTTCGTGCCACCGAATTTACCACAATTGAACCAGATAAGTGTTCAAGTGAGTATATGTGTCGTACGCGCACTATGTGGTGCCTGCGTGTCTGTGCAGACAAATGCTGGCCACCACAGCATTCCCTGTGACTACACTCTGGTATTGCATCACATTCTTAGGGTTTAGGGCTTAGGGTATAGGGTTTAGTGTTTTAGATGATCGCACTCTACTACTGGCAGGGATATGTACACGCGCGCAAGGTCCAAGAAACCGTACCAGCCACACTATGCAAGCACATACACGCACACATCTCGCCACACATACGGGAAGTGGCGCCGCGCACAGACGGTACAGGGGAGGGCTGGTCGTATCTGTTGACTCTCCTATTAACGCTGGAGTCGGTATGGTATGCGTGTGTGTACGGAAGCCATTTAGCGGGAGGTGGACCCCCACACTGGCACCATATGTAGTACACGGACAGGCAGGTGCACTTTAGTAGGTACTCGACGGGATATCTTATAAGGCAATTGAACCAGTATACCAGGCAGCCCAGGAGGTCGAAATCACTCCCTGGAGGTGAGTGGGAGTAATGATTAGTTCAGCTCGAAGAAGAGAACTGGGGACAATATGGAGATTAGTTATGAGGTGAATATGTATATTTATACGATTTGTATATTTCATATACTCATAATAGACCTTGTCTGCCAAGGATCGACTGCATGCGTCGTGGTCAGGATAATATACACTTATATATATATATATATAT